GGCTTAAATTCCGTATTGTCAGACACGATTTGGTAAACGTTTACTTTACCACTGGCTTAAGGTCTCGGGCTTAGTCCGGTCAGAAGTTCTAGGTGGAAAATTCTACGGGGTAAATTGAGCGAGAAATCAATGCACGCGCTGACGCCCTTACTGAATACTTGCCACGTCCAAACCCTGCTACCAAATCTCGGATAATCTTTCGCCAAGGATTTTCAGGGTGGTTTTGTGGGGTAGTCGGGTTTTTTTTTTTCAAAAAAAAAAATTCACTAAACTAATTTTTCGAAAAATTCGTATTTCTACGGTAGCCAATAAAGAGTCACCCCTACTTTTTTTTTCGGAACCGTACATTCTTATTCAGTGTTATGACCGATTCTACGTAAAAGGGTGGACGGTGAAGCAAAGAGAATACACTGTTAGCATTACCGCTGATTTTATGACAGTTCTCTATATATCGGCGTAACCATCGTTTAATGGTTGGTACGCGTGTCCCAGCCATTGTAGGGTACTAAGTAACCCCGTGGGGCGTGGGACGATTCGCTTGTCATATACACACGAAATAAGGGTGTTTTTGGTATATACTGTATATACCCATGACACCAGCGAACATATTGCTTTTGGTCGAGCAGTTAATTGTCCCATGAATGTTTCGACTGTGACAATGAAAACTACCCCTAAAATAACACTTGCGATATCTGCCAAGAAAATTTTTCGTTCCACCGCCGAATATACGCGGGGACTTAGAAAATATTGTAAATAAAAAAACATTTCCGAAAAATGTCTATTGATAATTTTTTTTTCGAAAAGCATAATCCCATGTAGAAAAATATATCGTTTCTAAATCCGAGTACGAGGAAAAATCACGTGGGATTGACAGTAAGAAGTGACTATCCATATATATATATTTTTCTTTCTATCCCTCGCAATAATAAAGAGAATTTCGCACCCCTCCATTCAGGACTTTAAACGCTTCCTGATCCTCGCAAGTGTCCCTAACAGACTCGGCTTAAATCCCGTGTTAAAAGACGCCACTTTTTCTGGCCCCCGCCAAGGCTAGATTTATCTAGCCACTTTGTACATTTCCACTGTATTCGCATAATTTTCCAACGCCTAACGAGAACAATTCCCAGCGTCACTTAGCCGTCGGGAAATACGGCTATCGCGGTCACGCCTCGTCGAAATAAGTCCCACGTGGATACTCCTAGTGTTTTTAGGGTGCAGAAGTCGGCTAACCATGACTAAAAGGCTGCTAACTGTTGTTTAACCAAGGTCCCGTTTGTTTAATCCATGTTTAACCATTTAACCAAGAGAGGGAGACGGCGTACACGCGACTCGTGTAAACACTGACTTCTGGTTTGCGAACTCCCGTCGTTGGTCTTGCGCCTTGTGTATACGTAAAACGAAAAAAAAAAAAAAAAAATCCACTAAAAGATAAATCTTCATTAGATCCCAAAACAGGTAAAAATACGAAAAACGTGTAAAAAAAATTTCGAAAAAAAAAAAATTAATTTCCCGTTCAGGGTATATCGATTAAGTAATCTTAATACATGGCTGAGCCGCAATGTACCGTAAAGAGAGAAGCGGAACCGGAAACGATCAATTCTTACAGGGAATATGCTTTGTCGGTGGTCGCCCGTTGAATTTTCCTTTGATTAATTTCACTGTGTTTTTTCTAGCCGCAAATCTTATCGTTCAAACCGATCCGCGCAGGACGCCACTTCTTGGCTCTAATCCAATCGTATAGTGCCTACTCGTCCAGACGGTAGCTCGTGTCTCCGCCTATATAAACTATCGTTCTCTCTCGCTCCCACTCCCGAACCCACATTCATTCCAGTCTCGATAGCTTCCAGCCGACGTAACCTCCTCCCGTCCGCTAGCTGCTCTCTCGATTTTACTAGCGAAGGACATAATCTAGTCTCCGAGGGAAACGCCAGCGCCAACCGAAGCCTCCGATCGCCTCCACGGTGCGATTAGGCGCTGCTTTTCAACTGCTAACGGCCAACAGTAAAACCCAGCGCCGTCGAACTTTTACGTATTGAAAAAGTTTTCGAAAACTTTTGCCTCGCGATCCAAGCCCGAGCGGACGTTTGGATTTACTTTGTGAGTCTCGAGCGAGGAAACGGACTGTAGTAGATAAACAGTTGGATTTAGCGACGCGTTAAAGGGACCCAAAATAAGAACCGGAAGTGCTGGCTCTTTTTATCATTCGTTAACCAACCATCAACAGCCTTTAGGTTATGTTCAAAATTGAACGCAAAGTAACTAACTAGCTCGAATTTTACTAGGTATGAAAATAACGTCCCTTGAAAAACGTGATGGGAGCCCGCGAATCAATATCAATTAGGATGCTTCTTCCGGTCGCGTGACCTGTCCCGGGGGTGGATCGGATGATATCGGCACGTGTCCTTCTCTTGGTTAAAAAGTTAACTTCCGGTTGAGCCACATTGACAATGGAGCATCCATGGGTTTACTATGCTCTTTTGACTATGGTCGCACGACCTTAAGGGTTGTTCACATGGAAATTCACTCTGGCTTATACTGTAACTGTGATAATTGACCGACTGGCACTATCCTCTTATCTGACTTTGGTTATCATCATTTGTTATCATTTATTTTCTATGGAAATTAATGGCGTTCCCTATACCTCGGCAAATTCCAAGTTTATATATATATATATTGTAAATACAGTTTTATAAATCGACCAATATTCAAGGCTGATTCAATATAATTAGTCAAGGGATGAATCGAATCTTTGCCCGAAGAATATTGACAAACCGGAAGCGAAGATCTTGGTTGCAGGACTGCAGGTACTTGGATGGGCTGACTGAGGCCAGTAGGAAAAGCACGAAGCACCGTAGGATACAGGGGGTTAAAGTATTCCTTTGGAAAGATTCTACTGTATTATACAGAATTTCCACCCCACGGAAACCGGCCAATAAAACACCCTCGGAATACAGTGCAACCCCTGCTACTGTCCAGGGGCTGACTGCATTGTCGAACTTTTTTCGTTTTTTTTTTCTTTTTACTTCTATTCATCCCTCTCTCTCTCTCTCTCTATTACTCTTTGGTTACTTTTACTCTCTCCTTCTCTTTGGTCTCACTCGATTCTCCAAGAGAGCACACCCCCTCGATTACATTCGGAAATATTAGGGGACGTCCCGCCGGTCCGGGACTATCAATTTATTTTCTCTTATTGATTGGTAACCCTGTGGATACTGACCCCATGTGCCTCTATCGCTAATATTTATTCGTCGTTTTAACGAGCTACCCCCTTCTTCACTCTGGACCACTTGAACGCTGACTGTGCCACCCCCTAGATGCCTATTGTGGGGTAGAAAATAGTAAGGAGTCACCAGTGTCCGTTCTTTAGAAGAGTGAATTCGATTTCTACCCTTACCCTATATACACATGTATATATATATATATATATATATATATATATTAAATAAGGACGAACGGGTCCGTGTCCAAAAAGTCAGATAACGGGTGGTCATATAAATCATGACGTACCCTCAATGTTATCTGGTACTTCCGGTTCAACGCACAGACATTTCGCGCACGTCGTAGAATATTCTATAGGCTATAGGACACCGAAGAGAGAATCGCCACAAAGCATATGCCGGCCGCTGTCCACTCCATTTACTTCGCTACGTCATCGTGTTTTCGCTTGCAAATACCAACCTGATAAAAGTTCATGCCACTAGATTAAGAGCCCAGGCTATATACGACAATTTTGGATTGTTGATAAAATCAAAATCCATCTTCACATAAAACCACCCCAAAATCGTGGTGAGACTGTTCCATGGTACCACAGTGATTTTCGTATATCCGGTGAAGTCCTTATCAGCGTGATAAACCCGTCTGTGATATACGATCGTCGATCGATACGTTTCAATTTTTTTTTTTCGATTTAATCAACGTTGAAAAATCGATTCTTACGGTAAAAGTTATTGCGTTCATGGGTAGCAGATAGCAGCTGCGTGGATGGACGTTGATATATTTTTTGTATATTTTTTGAAAAAAAAAAAAGTTTAGCATTTTACCTGGTTTATCTTTTTTATTGATCTTTTATTCGTTTAATTAATTATGTAAAATTTGATGTTTTTTTTTTTCAAATTATTTTTGGCCTATTTTATTCTTCTTTTTTTATTGATTAATTTTGTATTTGGGTGAATTTCCATTGGCGATATACAATCGTAACTTTTATCGTAACTATTACCGATATCGCTATACTTTCTACCAATCCAATCGCGCAAACACGTTGCCAGTGTCGAAGGACGAGATAAATGCTTGGACGTCTCTATAGAGCGACTCTGTCGCTGACGAAGGGGAACGCTGGAATTGTCAGCTTTAATTTTTCGCAGCGAGCCATCCGTACGTAACGCTCTAGTTTGAGGGGGCGCCCTCAGGAAATCTAAACCGGTAACAAGATGGCCGCTCGGAAACGGAAGCCGGATGCGTGTCACTCAAACTACAGTGGCATCCGGCGTATCTACGAGACAGGAATAAGAAGGGTGGAAAATTTCTCTCGAGTGTTTTACGAGACTCTTTTCAACGTGTGTATATAGATATACACGTATATACAAATTATTCTATTAATTATCGAGCTTCGATCGTCATTTATATGAGATATCGATCGATCGATACGATCGATATCCAGGGAATAAGGATCCTAGTGACTTTTTTTTTAAAAGTCTAGTAACAATTTTTTACACTTTCAATGGATTTATTAAATATGCGTTTGATATATTAGTTTACTATGTATCATACACAATGTACATATATACAACCTACTACAATAAATATTAATGTAAACGGGGATAATTCGTATCTCCACCTTACGTCATCTCTGATCGGTAAACGTTAGACGTAAGACACGTGAAATTCGTTTCACCGAAAAAAAAAAACTGGCCTTGATGACTTTATTTGCTTATTTTTTTTTAGAAATATTTTTTTTTAGAAAATTGCTCGAATCGAAAAATTATAGTTTCTCTGCGTGTCTGAGGTTTCTTGATATTCTTTTTTTTTTTAATATACAACGAAACTACACGATACCTTACCAAAAGGGATAAGATTATTTTAACCCCCAATTTGGATGAGCGACAAATTTTTGAGTAGATAAAAATTTTATTCCACCCCTTTTTACGAAGACTCGTGAATTTGACGATCTTCTCCGCTCGTCACTGGTTCTTTTAATTATTGTTCGTCTCAATTTTTATTTTCACGTGCGACAGATAAAAATTTCTTATCGTCCCTGTTATCGCATCGCAACGTCTTGAATCGCTAACGCGATTTATCATAGACGCTCTATGCTCGTTACGCAATTCGTTGGATCGTCCAGTGGGAGGATAAAGACTTTTGAAAAAACTTTCCTTGGGCAATACTTTGAAAATTTACGAACAATACGGAAGTACATACTGTAAGGAAAAAAAAAAAAAAATAGATATTCAATCCCAATCGTACGATCAATCCCATTAATCGTACACGTCACGAGCGCTAATCCTAATCACCGATGACGAAGTCGTACCATTTAATCTCGTCGCAAGGACGAGTGACACTGGTACACGGTTAATACTAATAACTAATTTGAACTCTTTATACCCAACGACTCTTTGTACAAAACTTAATGGATACATTAACCTCGAAATTTACGATATTCATTTATCTAGCTATATCACGTCTATCTATTCGCTATATGTATAATATTCGCACTAAGAATCACTCTTCGTCTTAACGAGACCGAAGCGCCTCGGCCCAGTCCATGGGAACGGAGAAAGTAGGAAACATAAGAGAAAGTAAAAAGTAATGAAAGAGAAAGAAAAACACCACCGTAACTTTGAGTCCTCACGAAGAAAATAAAAAGACCAGTTCGCACAAATCCGTTCAACGATCAACGTTTACCACCAGTACGGTTTCTGCATATAGGGCGCCATCGGTACCTGCCCGTTTCCGGGATACGTCGCTTGTTCCATGAGCTTCGATTGGCACGGTTTACCGTCCCTGACTAGTACCGGAACCGCGACTCTTCTTGGAGAACATCCACTTCCGCCAGCCTCCACCCTCTCCGTCGCTGCCCTCTTCGTCTTGTACCTGTGATTCTGGAACCAGATCTTGACCTGGGTAGGGGTCAGCCGTATGATGCTCGCCAGGTGTTCGCGCTCGGGTGCGCTGAGGTATCTCTGCTGCCTGAAGCGTCTCTCCAGCTCGTACGTCTGCGCCTTGGAGAAGAGGACGCGTCGCTTCCTCTTCTTGTGCTCGCCCTCGTGTGCCTGGGAGTCGTTCGGATGTTGCTCCTCTTCGAACTCCTGCTCGTCGTCCTTGGACTCGTGGCCGTTGTCTTGGTGAGACGGGAAGGACAGGTCCGAGATCGTTGGACTGGTCGAGTCTGGCTGCTGAAGAACTGGAATGACGAAGGTAAAAAAATATTATTTTTCAAAATAAAATTAAAAAATTTTTTTTTCTTCAACATCCTCTCTCTTCATCACCAGGTCTACCTACACGCACTTACGCACCGGGGACTAACGACTATGCCTGGATGACGCGTTCGCCGGTAGATTAGACCGACGAGGTCGCTCTTGGTGCAGCTGCACTTTTCCAGACGAATCATCGTCGGCTCTTAGAACTGATTGCAGCAGGGCAGATGCGGACGTCATCGATTTTTTAGTCTCATTTTTCAACGATCGTTAAAGGAGGGTCCCTCGCGTGGGTACAGCCTAAGGCATATGCTGTATAATGAATTTAATCAGTGACGTAACTATTGCTCTGTCTAATCGATTTAACGGCGATGTTAACCTCGAGTAAAATTTTACCCCGAGACGCCACGATGCGTCCTAGTAGCTGGGAGTCAGGGTGGGTTTTTTTTTTTCGCGTGCAACAATATGCCTTTGTGAGAGAGCCCTAACTTCGTTGGGGAGGGTGTGAACCAATATAAAGCCCATTTGATAGCTACACGACCCCGCCTGACCCCACGGGATCAACCGTATCGTTTTCATGGGAGATTAGCGCCGAGCCCGGTACTCGCACTGTGATTTCAATTAGATTCTCCACCACGATCTTTTGTTATTGCACCGGATAACGTATTAGCCTAAAACTATAAACTTATGTAAATACATGTATGACCTGGTGCACGCGAAGAAAGAAAAATAGCGGATAGGACCGAGTGACAAAATTATTTTTCCACCGACCCCCGACCCATCGTCACGAATCCGCGTATCCGTAATCAAGCGTATCGCTCCTCCTAATTATCCATAACTGATTCTTTTTTGTACCCGTCCCACAGGTCAATCCAACCCCCTTGCAAACTTGGCGCTAACCGAAGATACACGAGGTACGGGGATCTTGGTTGGGAAGAGCGAACGCAAAAAATTGGGGAACCATGGCTACCACCGACAATGCCCTTTTTGGGCGTGACAATTTCAATTCATCGAAGGTCGCGGTCCGTGCATCTGTCCTGGAGCAGGACATCTGTCTGTTCCGCGAACCAATCGGGTACGGGACACAAGGACCTTTTACGGGGCTATTAGATCCTGCTTAGGCGAGGCGGACCAATTGTAGGGTGCTAAATAAATAAGGGTTGCAACGTATCCCTCTATCCCGTGGTTGGAATACTAGGTGTGTATATATATATATATGTGTGTGTATGTAAGGGAAAGATTCAGAAGCTACATGCGTACAAGCAAGATACGTATATTGGGTGTAAGAAATTTTGTACACGAGCAAATTGAAAATAATTATTTTCTGTATTCTTGACTTACCGTTTACTTCCTCTAGTGGTTGAGGCATGTTCGTGGGTAATGCTGGACCCGTTGGCCATCCTAATATACCTGGTGGCGGTGGTGGCAATGTACCTCTGGCTAGATTCGCATGTACAGCCGGTTGTAACATGGCGGTCGTGTGCTCCAGGAGTTGCTGATAGGTCGACGGTACGTCGGTTGCTGGTGGTATTACTGTGGTGCCTGCTGAAAATGAAATAGAATTTTATGGTAATTATTTGTATTGGAAAAACATGGTTTTTAATATGATTCTTCTTTATTCATAGATTTTTGGCATACCCTGTATCTCGGACTCCTCTTGAGTGGGTTTGGGATCATTCAGCTCCAGGATGTCGCTGATATGAAAACTGGACATCCTCGCAGGCATCTTCATGCTTTCGAATAATCTTTAAAAAGAAAAAAGGAGGATTACGTAAAAACCAATTTCTCATTTGTTTCTCTTTGACTTTGTTGCCTCAACCTTAGTAAATGTTTTGTCGGGGCACAGGAAAAATTTATAAACAAGTGATTTTCCCCATAAAGGATCTAAGCGCGAAACAGCAGGTGGCCATCGTATATAGGATGGAACCTTCGTTCCGGTATTCATGGGACTCTGGCTTTTTGCGATTAACGAAAAAGAGTTTCTAGGAGTCTGTGATTTTAAGCACAAAGAATACGTCCGACTACCCGACGGTCCAATCCAATTTTGCCTTTTAACCACCTCAGAAGAGACGCCGAAGAACCGGGTGACACTTCGTCAAGAAGCCAGCGGCCTTTTAAGATGCGATTAAACGTGTCTTTTTCTAGAAACCGACCTTAAGGATACCTGCGGGACGTTCCAACAACCTGCCCGGAGGACCTTGGTTTGTACTGTAACCATAAGCTAAACGTCCCATTATCATGGCACGTTCGGCCACGCTTCTATCCTTACATTGTATTGAACATTTTCAAAGTCCCTGTTGCCGCCGGAAGTCGAGATAAGCAAAAACAAAAAAAACTATACAGGAAATAAAAAAATTTGAGAAATTCCAAAAATCTGCCTTCTCAATATAACCCGGCATTGAAATCCCTGAATGAGATACATTAAGCATATAATATAGTCCTAGTATGTCAATGCTTGATATTACACATAAATCATTTGATTATCTTTATGGAAAGTTTATCATTAATCCACATAGTGATACACTATGGGAATTATGCGTGTTTAAGTTTATTAGACACTCTGGTGAATTACTATGGCTTTGAAAATTGTTCATTTCCCTAAGTGGCCTCTGAGAAGCCATTTTAGGCACACAGGATATGAGCCAATCGTTCTCACTGTCTCGCGTGTAGAATTTGATTGGATATTCGAAACGCGTTTGATTTCTTATCAAGAATAACGATATGATCTCAACGTGATAAGGTAGCTGCTGTAAATCTTAATTCGACGTATTAATTTGGTTAGACAATGTAAAATCTTTCATTCGTAACTACAATGTCTATATTTTGAAACTTTTGGTTTTCTTTTTTTAAATTTAAAATTCAAGATACGTACGTATGACAGTGTAATGAAAGCACTAGATACAAATTCTCACATCCACCCGCTCACACACAACACACAGATCTTGAGATATTGACTATTTCTTTACCTAGAGTTCAGTGCAAGCTGTCTGTACCAGACATGATTTAAGAGACTGGCCGAGTAGGGTAGAAGAGGCCAGGGTAGAATCTTATTCTTGTCCGCCATTTTGGTGGAGATAAACTCGCGATAAACTTTTGTCAGTACATATTAATCAAAGACAGACACCGTCTAGATGCTCCTTGCTCGTAGAACTCCTCGTCAATTTTCTCAACTTCGAACTTGGTTTACCTTTTTCTTATATATTTGACAAGAGAAAACCGTGTTCTCTCCCCCTCGTTATGGATCTCTCACAACAACAAAAATCACTCACACTGAAAAACCAGGGCAGTCACTGTATTACAATGTCGAGGTGAATATCGACAAACCAAAAAAAGAAACACTGGCACGGTAGAACAGTCGCGAAAATTTTTTATAGGTTAAAATGTCGAGGATCGTGCGGGTGAGGTCCTTTTTAGCGAAGTGGAGGACTTCTTGTACTTTTTGAGTGTCCTCGACGAGCACTTGACGGCTAGTGTTCCCTACCTCCGTCCTGTTTGGGGTCTCAAGCACCCTTGACGTCAGGGGCGGATCCCGTAGGCGTCACCGTAAAATTTCAAACTCGTACCGGTGGCTCCCTTAGTATAACGCCTCTTTGATTCTCTAGGGAATTTTAGAAATTTACTAGATTCACCAACCGTTGTGGCAGTTGCGTGTTCGCAGGTTGGGTAACTTACGGATAGATTGCCAATGGGCGGTCCTCACTTACATCCTGTGACTAACCAATGGACGTACGTTCTGACGAAACTTGCTAAGGGTGGTTTCAACCCCTGAACCAGCGGCAGCCAATCGGTGCTTCTCATCGATTAGCGCTTTTTACACCGAGAACATACTTTACGTCGAGTGTTAATGTGAAAGAGCATTAGCGGTGCTTTTACTGTGTCATTTCGATCTTTCATGTTTTTTTTCCTCACTTCTCTCTCTCGTTCTATTCCTCTTTATAGATTGTCGTCTATTGATAGTCAAAAGTGGGTTAGAACTGCCGCACGTGATGTCAGACACAGTTTTTATATTGATTAGCCAAATCCTGATTGTCACTAGAATTGATTTTAATTGAATAATTAAATTTTATTTTATTTTTAGTCACTGATAGTTTAAATAAATGTGTGTCTTGAAAATTCAAAATTTAATCTAGGAGTTATAATGTTTGACATCATTTTAGTTATAGCTGTATTCATGTATGCATCATGTTTCTAATCCTATCTAGGATCTATGTAATATAATTTATCTATATTCAAGCATAAACTAATACGTGAAAGCACAGTCAAGCAAATGACGCGTTTTCATGATACACCGTAACGGCCGATAATCGTAGAATGCTTTTAGCGATCGACTGATGTATCACATTGCAATTACTCATATAGCTACCTCGATTCTTTAACAGTAGCAAGGAAAACGGACCCTTTTTACTATAATGTAAGAAGAAGTAAAGTGGACCCCATGAAATCAAAAGGTTAGTAGAAATTTCTCATAGTTGAGAAAAGGTAATATAAAGCGAACCTGTAGCACCACTCGTTCGGATACACGTGTTACTTCGGTTTCGCCATAGACGCATCGCCATATACCTACATAGGTATTATATATAGTTCCTGTGCCCATAGACACAGAAGATAGAAAAGGCCAATTCGGCGTGGAACAGGTAAACGGAAGGCAGGACGCGAGGGTTTCCGGTTCATTCAGTGTTTCTTTGTGTTGGTGGATACTTTGAAAAAGTCAAAAAGCTACGGAAGAGGGCGGTGCCACGAGGTCTCTTCTTCAAGGGTGGACCGAAAGTTCCATGGGATTTATCATCGGAATAAATTCCGCCGTGAAATAGGTTAGCTTTAGCCGCAGTAAAGAACAGTTGCGCAGTGGGCTACTGCGCATCTTGAATCATATGCTACGCCGCTACCTGAGTCGACCAGTCTAATTCTGTTAGAATCAAGTTTAAGGTAGGATAGTTCTACTTTTTGCTATGAGAGAAATCGAATAAAAAAACACACTAAAGGAAGAAGGAATGGAAGAAAAAGGAAGAGCAACTTCAGCCTCGGCAATCGAGGAACATTTGCCTTGCTCCCACGACTGTTTGGCGATAGCTGTGCCAACTTGTTTCGAGCACGCAATCCAATTTGTCTACGTCTCGTTGCTTTACTGCTTCGTCGTCTCCCGCCACTTGGTACTTCGTCATACAAGGTATATTTTTTCCCCATTACAATCCTTTTCTCTCTCAGACCTTTAACGCGTTTCTACGTACTATTTTACTTCGTTCTATTAGAGAAACGAAGAGAGAGAAATACTGTGGGAAGGAACGTATCAAAATGATCGGATTAACCAAGAGTCTCTAGACCGTCGCTCGAATGTAGGATTAACTGGTGGTAAGGTTAAAGCTTTATTTCCAACGCTAACGAAGGATTTAACCTGCGGTCGAGTTAATCGCGTTGAAAAGCGGCTTCGGATTACAGGATTTAAATTACAAATGGCTGTCATTGGCTAGATGATTCCTTGTAGTCTGAGATCAGCTGAGATCTTGGATGCTTTTTTCTAAGATTCACAGTTTACACTAGACTCCAGTATTTTCTCTTCTCTTAGTCTGAAGCGTCCGTAGTCAAAGGATTTTGAAACTTTGTAATTTTCAATTATTCAAGCTAACCAAATAACTCCTAGGTACACAAGGCACTGTATGGGAGCTCGATTGATTTTTACTGGCGCACTTGTACTTAAAGTACTGTACATAACCTAACCTACGAAGGACGGTCTAGTCGGCGACGTTCAGGTGCGGCAAAACGTGCTACGCTCAATGGATGCTCACCCATTTAGTAGGTATTTTGGAAATTCACCATTAACATTACAATATCAGTACCTGTCGGCTGTGGCAATGGCGCACCTGAACGCTTCTACTTTTATTGCCTGTACGTGCCAGCGCAAGATTTAACGAAATTTTCGAAATATCACCCTAACGTCGGCGTCCCTTTCATGCACCCCTATTTTGGCTCGTCTAGGGATTTTCATATTGGTGGATTTTTCTAACCTATACTCGAGTGTACCTTGAGTAGCTCAAGCATTTCAAGCACCACTTATCTCTCTACGAGTTGGTCACGTTCGAAAAGGCTCTCGAGGGGTTATTTTGAAAAAAGATATATATACCACTGGAGAACATCGTAAAAGTGTCATAGATACGGTTTTTTAATTATGCCCAGAAAAATTCATAGTATAATTTACGTTATAAATATTAATTACAGGTTCTAAACTATTATTTTATTACAGGTGTACCTGCAAATAAAATAATCCAAAGTATACTTTGGCAACTCTATTCAAGCGATTTACCTGTCTGTGTGGTCTCTGGAAGAAGGGATCCATTTTCAGCATCCCCATGAATTTGACATGAAATCATTTGTCAAAAAAAAAAAATGCCACACGAAATTCAAATTGACCATGGGAAAGAACCTGACAGGAATAATTTTGAGAATCCGTACATCCAATCGACCCGAATATCGTGACTCTTCGTTGACTATTAATTTCTCTCTATTATCTATCAAGAAACGATACGTAATCAGTACCAATCAATTGATATAATTGGATAACAAGATATCTATAATATATCCAATGCCCTGTGTGTAGCGACGCATTGGCGTAACTCAGGACTTCTTTAGTAACAAGATACACACGCTATACCTCGTTCTTGTAAAAGGGCGCGAGTTTCTCCAAGTTACAAGAGATGGAGAAAAAAAATACTATTGAGTTTTACGTTCATTCATGAAGTCTTTGACAAAGGCCCAGCGGGCCCAAGACACATGAATGAACGTAGTAAGGTCTCGTAGTAGAAAACCCGACGGGGCACCTCAAGGGCCCTCACTGAGTGAATAAGGCCCCTAAGAAATCACGGGGTCAAACGTGACCCAAACTTTGCACGGCTAGTTAAGTCGCATACTTTAAGAAACATTTAAGAAGTTATTTCAAGAATCATGGTTACACTAATATATATGTATATATATATATTATCCCAAGGTATCCTTTAATTTTTTCTTCTCTTAATAATTTTTTTACCCTTAATACATCAACTTAACTACACTGTCCTGATTATGGCAATGATTTTTTATAATTGGGCTAAAAAACTGAAAACGATATTAAGAAATCTGATTGTTCTGGTAAGAGTAAGCGGGTGATTAGGTTTGGATTATTCTGAAATTTATCGTGGAAACCAACAGGTGCTTGCAGCTGGGCCTTTTCCGCTGTGAGGTGTAACAAGGCGTACCACTCTACGCCGAGGATTCACCCTCAACATGCGTGACGGTTCTTAAACGTTTACTTCCGGTTAGCCTGGTATCATCCAAATCGAATGCGTTAACGTGAGTTCAAAGAATCTCTATATGTTTATAATATCTTATAATTCAGTTAGTCAATATATAATATGTTTTTTTAGCTTACCTGTAATCATCCTCATTGCTAACATAATCTGGAGGAATCAGATGCCAGGAAGCATCATAACATTCATCGTATCCAGTAGCCATTTTTTCCCTGTCGGATATCGAGTCTACGTCGTACTGTGGTATTCCGAAAATTCGTTGAGTTCTTCAATCACCAGGAATTGTCAGTTTCACGTAAAACGATATTACAGTCGGAAACGACTGATCTTTGGGGAAAAGTCCATCAGAATGTCGTTTTCTGTTTGGTGTCCCTTTTCGAAAATGAAAATTTTCTTGGCCGTCGGATCGTCGATGTTCCGATTGTCGGTAGTCCACCACGTTTTTCTTATTTCTTTTAATTCGCTTTCACTCTTTGTATTACACGAGCTTTTATATAATTTATAATAATTGATTTTATCAGACTTTTCATTAATACAAAGAAATTAGCCGATTCGTTTACAAATTGTCGTGATACCTTATTCTTTACGACCGTGGTACGATAGCGTGGAATATTTAGACTGGATTTAGTTTTGAGATAGGAATAAAAGCACACGGTCAACTAATCATGATCTAGCGATCTCTGACTGGTATAACTTAGTGCAACAAATAGCTTAGCTAGTCCTAAGAAAAGTATCTGTACGAGGTTAACGGTTGTGCTCGTATTACCACACTGGAAAGTATAGCTAATACATTGATCACCTATATATTGCATCGAAAATATGGCTACCAGATAGGAGCGCTGGCAACGTTATCTGTTTGATAACACCCTATATAGATTAGTGTCACTACTGCAAGATGTAACAGCATACGGAACCCCAAATATCGAATGTTATAAACTCGACAAAGACAGTCAATGGACCGTAATAAAATTTAGCAAAGATTGCATTAATTTTTTTATAAATTATAATTTTCTCGACTGATCCAATCCTACGTTAATGTCCATGTGTAATGTTGTGTGAAAATTGCTAAATAATCAAATCTTACGATAGTATGAATTATTAGAAAATATGTAAATAATTAATAATTACTTAAGCAACCAAGCCGTTGGGTATCCAAGTTATCGCAATTGATCAATTTCGTTGGTGAGATTTCGAGTTTTTACGTCAAGTGTATCGATTACGTCAAAGACAAATTATAAGATGTTTCTGTAATAAAATGATAGCGAGCAAGAATCCTTTTTACTCGGACAAAATTGAGCACTTTATTGGTTTTTCATTGAGCGAGATGGTCAATCGCGTGAAATTCGTCTTTTTTGACGGTGAACGAGATCGATTGAAGTTGAATAAGATTAGGGGTCGTTCAACATGATGCATGACTGAACCTTAATTTTTTAATGACAAGAGACCCTCGAGGTGAAGTGTCCAGGCTTAGTGGACAAGTGCTCCCAAACAGTATATACTAAGCTCTGATAAAGTAATATTTAAGCTCTGTCTATATTAAGTAATACATTGCCAATTCGGTAAATCGTGTAGCTTCTTTTTGTACTTTCCTTGGGGATTCCATTAAAGTTTACCATATTGGAATAAGAATACAAGCAACAAAAGACTTTCAACTGGAATTAAGATTCTCAGAGATTCTCATGAGATCTCGAGGTTCTGACCTAAATAACCTAGAAGGAGGTGAATGAAGTCTCAGAGTTAGAAAGACGTCAAGTATAATTGGAGAAAATAAGACGTAGCTATTACTATACGTATGACGCCATGATGACACTTCAGAATTCCAGTTTGCTTGGAAAAAGTCTCACGGCTACTAAAAAGTAGGGACTCGATCAGCCTTAACTACCTTTATTGAACCACTAGGGCATTTAGCGCGATAGGTATCTTGTCATCTAGCACAACCATGACATATGGCCGTAATCTTTGCTTATCGAAGCTGTCGATAAGAATTTTTTTTGAAAATTAACTGTCCGTATCTATATTATTTTCAAATAAAAACTCTTTGTACGCAAAAAGTTCTGCGTATCCTCGCAATTATTTGCGTCTTTTCTCTCTGTTGCAGCAAACATTTCGTAATGATTATAAATTAAAAGAATGCTCTATATTCATCTTTTGATCTCTTACGCGTAATCTATTACCTGTGTCCAATGTTCCTTATCATGTTGCCCAAGTCAAATCGCAATCTAGCTGATGGCATCTGGCATCATTGTAGATCCTTCGAAATCAAAATTATCAAACTTACAATATAATTACACTTTTTAAAAATATCAAACTTGTATCAGTCGTTCAATTACTACCCAAAGCTTTTCCTTATTTATAACAAAACAGTTGCTCGAGTGATCACTATAATGCAATTACAGTGAAGTGCTTAATTAGCACAGTATTAAAATCCAACAGATCTTGATTGAATTAATCATGTAGATGATAGTGGCGCCAACTGATAATAGTTCTTTGAAATAATTCATCTATCGGTCTCCGGAAATTGTGCATCCTGGTGGTAACTGGATAACAGACGATAAGTCGGGAATTCTTGATAATATCGGTCACGTCGGCAACTTACTGTAGAGGCAGCACAGCGATACATGTCGATCATTTATACCGACAGTCGTTTATTTGGAATTTTTTTCTTGTTTCGTTTATAAAAAGTAAGAAGATTGATTAGGAAACATTTAGCATTACGCCAATAATATAATCAATCTTTTCCGTGGAAGAGAATGTTAGTGCAGAACGTATTTTAAGTTTTATCGAAACTTCAGAACCGTATAGTGCGCGAGCATTATCTAGAAGGGTAGTGCTATTGTTGCCAACTGTTACTTTGCGGCTGATAATTTAAAGACTTATATCCATGTGGAGTATATGCTGACGGATGTATAAATGCTGACAGATTTAATTTTGGAAATACTGTTCTGAATTTACGGTTCCTTCTTCCGATTTTTGGCAACAGTAGTTACTGTGTAACTTCGCGTAACTCTTGGAGGGCTTAAAAGTGAATTTTGGCATTACTGCTCATTGACGTGTCAGTCAAACGCAAATGGCGGCCGAAAACAGTGAGATTTCCGTCGTCGGGACGGATTTTGAGAAATTGAAGGTTTCTACCGGTGAAACAACGAAAAATAAAGACGATAGTAAAAACGCAAAAGTCTTTGAACCACACTTGTCGGGTTTTGAAACTCGTGAACTATATAAAATTGCGCTTAACTTCTACAAAGGTGAGTGCGCTTTATTCCCGAATGCAATACTCTTCTTTTTCAACGTTCTTTCGGATTTTATATGGTTTTTATGTTTAAGGACGATAAATAATTCGTATTTTGAATATTTGAAAATTTTACGCACGTTATTCGTGTTTTGCTTCATTAGATACGCAAGACGTTTTAATTGTTAGTGCGTGTCTAGTTTAATGGACTGTCATGTGCTTGTTCTGTTTACACTTTGCATTTAAGTATTTTACGAAAAATGAATCTGAAAATATGGTCAGATATCAGAAATTGTTTCTGTTTAATAATAATTTTCTCATGCCTTGTCGTGGATTATTGTCAACCGTATAAGAAGGCAAAAAGGTCTCCACATTTATTGACAATGTTGTGCACAGCATAAGGAATTAATGACTCTTCATTGAACACGTCAGTCACGATGAATTATTCGCAGCAGCACGATATCGATTTTGTACTTACAATGTGTCATTTTTTATGAGCCCTTCACATTGTATATCTTTGTTTACAGAAAAAGAAGGAAAGGCTGTGCATCTTTCGTATGAAGACAAATTGAAGTTAGTGGCATTTACGCAGCAGGTAACTCATGGTAAATGTACACCAGAAAATGCACCACCATTGGGTGTATTAGATGTGATAGGAAGAGATCGTCGAATGGCATGGCAAAATTTAGGAGATATTTCAAAGGAACAGGCGATGGAAGGTTTTATAGTCTTGTTAGACAAGCTATGCCCTTTGTTTAAGACTGTAGTCGAAGCACAGAAAAGAGATATAGAAGAGAAATTACGACTGAAGAAGGAAGAGGAATTGAACAAAATAGAAGAAGAGAAACGACTAAAAGAATTAGAGGAGGCTCAAAAGAAAGAAGAGGAAGAGCAACTAAAACAGGAGAACCAAAGGAGACAAATACAGCAAGCATTGAATCAACAAACCTATTATCAATTCAAGGCTTATGCCGAGCAACAATATCCTGGAAATCCTGAGCAACAAGGTGTTCTTATAAGACAATTACAAGAGCAACACTACCACCAATACATGCAGCAATTACATCAAAATCAATTAGTCATCGAGGAACAGGACAATGAAAAGAAGGACAGCACACCAGAAAATATTAGCAAAGATGAGGAAAAGAATGAAGCTATAGAATCGACAGAAACAACGCCGTTAAACGATGAAGATTCTGACGAAGTACAACATGACTGGCCACCAATCTCCCCAGCAGAAATGTGGACGAGGAAAGGTGTCGACGAGTTTAAGGATACCATCAGAAAAGAAGCTAGCGATGCTGTCATTAAAGTTGGTCATGGTGAAACAGTGACAGTTCGAGTACCCACTCACGAAGATGGTTCCTGTCTATTTTGGGAATTTGCCACAGATGGATATGACATTGGTTTCGGTGTGTACTTTGAATGGTCCAAGCCGGATACGAATCAAGTATCTGTGCACATCAGCGAGTCTGAAGACGAGGACGAGGATGAGGACGACTACGAATCTCGAGAAGATTTAGAAAGCGGAGCTGTCAATGGCGGCGTCAAATCCGAATATAAACCAACCACACCTCCTATAAGTATTATAATACCTGTAAGTATAGCAAGTAAATGCAAGTAACATCAGCATTAAAAAAGAAGAATTCGTTATTATCTACTTATTAATTTTCAGGTGTTTAGGAGAGATTCCCAGGAAGAGGTGTACGCTGGCAGTCACCAGTATCCAGGGCAGGTGAGTGTATTAATAAATAAAAACTTTTCTTAATACTTAGCACAATAAACATGGAAACTTACGAACTTGGTTTGATGGTATTTTTTCTAGGGGGTTTACCTACTCAAATTCGACAATTCGTATTCGCTATGGCGAAGCAAAACACTGTACTACAGGGTGTACTATACGCGGCCCGACTTTACAAAGAATAATTAGTATTAATAAATGTATTAATTATACTCTGTAAAATGAACGTCTGCTCGTTGGTAAAACTAGCAGTGTCTGCTATACGCTAGTCCAAGATGAAGGGAGAAAGACAGGAAAAACAATAAGATAAACGAAAACCCGCATCTTATCTTTTATTTCACACACACAGCAATGGTGTTCGCGTCGTGATAAAGAAAACAAAATATATTTATTACAATGGTGAAGACACTTTTTTTTATTCCTCGAAATCACGGCACAAGTACGACGAAGGTTTTAAGACAGTTTTTCTCACATCGACATTTAGAAATGCGCCTATGCGATCTTCGCTCGTCCTGGCGACATGTAATAAAATAAGCGAAGATCACGTAGGACATAATTTATATTATATAAATAAATATAAATATATCGTCTAAATATGTATATGTGTTGATATAGTATACATAAAATATGGTTCTGGATCAAAACTCTATTTGGCTTTTGACCCATTACCATGCAGATTGCATTACTTATTATGTATTACGTTCGTTAAACGGATATTTGTGTTTTTGAAAAATATATCAAATACAAAATGAAAAATCCTCTCATTCCGTTGCGCTTAGCACGCGGATATATGTACCAAAGATCAAAAAACACATGGTTCTCATATCTCAACATTTATTATTCAGTAACCATAATTCATTTCTTATTTTCTTTATACATAAAGCAATATATTGCAATATACGGTATTAATTGTGGTAATATCAATTATTTATTAATAATTGTGAACTATAAACTTTTCTAGTTTCTATCGCGCAAAAATTTGCGCCATTAAGTATATAGGTACAGAGGCTTTTATTTTCGGTATCGCGCAAACTTTTTGTCAAACGTATCTTTTTTGGTCACTCCTTCCCCCTCCTCCCTTCACACTTCATAATTCATCGCGTGCCCGATTATAATTATTATTTAAGATTTTTTCCCTCATTTCGTACTATGACCTTAGTTTCAAGAGCACTTTTTTGAGACGGCATACGTTATACGATGTAATGTTATATTAACTTTTATTAATTCTCGCTCCCCTACCGATTTTCTTCCTACGGTAAGTTTCTTATCTCCTCGCATCCGGGCCCGAAAATATTTCGCGGATTGTCTGCATAATAGAAGAGCGGACCGAGAGATTTTTTTTTCTTTTGAAAATCCCCAATACTTCATTTTGTAACACGTCAATATCGCCATATCGCTAGTGAACGCTGTGTATACATTACAATACGACCACCTCGTATATATTTTGTTTTAATTTTTTTGGCATTATTTTTTCTTTTTCTTTACTTTTTATTTTATTTATTATTAAAAATCCGGTATACTGCGTGCGGCGAATCTTCAAATTTTCGAGACCACTTCTGTTTTTGTTATTACAATTTTTCACAATTTTACTCTTTTTTCCTCTTGTTATTACTACTCTTGGCAGTTGAACGTATTCGGACAACCAAGCGTTTACCAAGCGAACTTCCCGAAAACGGGGAAAATTACTGAGCGACAGGCGAGGATTTTTATCTAAATATTAAACGAACGTTCAAGAGGATTTCGTGTCAGTCCCAAAAAGCCAAAATCGGTGTTATACATATACATATATATATCACATATTTTCGAGCCCCAATAATAATATTATTAATGAATCAATAACAATCCCCTCACACACGCATTACCACCATAATACAATAAAAATTAGCTTAAGCTTAAATTGACGTTAGGAATACTTGCGCGATGTAATACAATAATAACCTGTATAGTCGAAAATACACGTATAAGCTTTTAAAATACAAATACAACAAATATATCTTGGTATACATATATATATATATATATAATATAATATATATATAATATATTATATATATATTCATAATAAATCTCGTAACTTTCATTATCTATTACGAATTAATTAATAGGTGTTTGGTTTACTTACTATTAGTGTATGTATGTATATATTGAGCTATCGACGAGAGTCCTATGCGAATTAAAAATGGCCATCGTCACGTACGACAATGAAGAATCATCATTGTTGACAAAGGTCAATAATTCAGAAAAATCACTTTAAATTCGCAGTAGATACTCTTTATCTGAAAGGCAAGCCGACTCTGTTTTTTTTCTTCTTATCATCATCTAACACGTACCAATCGTGATACCAGATAAAAAATTTTTCCAAAGTTTCACGTTTTACACATATTCCGTTATTTTGACATCTGGTACCAGATTAATAAAGAACTATAGATCTCTACGCAAGCCCCTATGGCACATATTTGCTATTTGTGCGCTGCTGTTTTATAAATCACTTAATATCTTTATCACCCCTTTATTCCCCCGCCCCAACAAGCAGCTTAAACACGAATTTACATTGGGCGTTTTGGTTCGTACGGGAAAGCAAATTTTTTTTAGCGGCAGCCATTTTTTTCCGAAATCATAACCATGTTATTATAATTCACTCGTGCACGTGGTCATTGATCATTTCCAAGAATGCATCACGAGCAATGATTATATTTAAAAAAATATAATTGGCTGAATGAAAATCTGTCAGAAGAAACATAATAAAAGAAGACATAAGCTGCACTTAGGTATAAAATTTTCGTTACGTCGTCGAAATAAGCAGTTCCAACGGCTGCCACTCGTTACAACGAAGTCTCCATGTTGAGATTGGTGCATCTACCGTTTCCGGGTCTACGAGCAAATTCGACACGTTCCGTGAAGCTTCTATGAAGACAATGATCAGCCCTTCGGCTTCCGGTTCGTCTTTCGGTCAAGGAACGCGTCAGTCTGGAGAATTTACCTCTGGAAGCAACTTCAGGAAGATTGGAAATGGCTTGATTGGATTCTAAAAAATGTTCTTGCTCCATGGCGACTTCATCGGGCAATATTGTGGATTGATTGATTGGTATTCGATTGGTAGTTTGCAGGAGGATTTTTGTGCCTTGCGACGGTATCAAACCTTCGTTTGGTAATATTATACTATTTCTATAATCGCTCTGATCCCATTGTCTGTAATTCTCTGAAAACAGGTATTCCGGCTCTACGCTCATGGTGCGATGGTGCTTCCGGTAATTATGAGTTCTCTGATTGGGCGATTCACGTTCCGTTAAGGATCTACGAAGTCGAGTCAGCACAGGAAGATTCACGGCCCCTTCGTAATCTGGTGGATTTTCGGTTGGTACCACTTTTTTACCACCGAATGGATCACTCGGACATACTTCCTGTATGGGACTGGCGAATATTAATACCCTGAAAAAAAAGTTTGTTTTTGGATTAATCATAATTGACTTCAGGTTGGTATTACCAATGAGATATTATGTCCTACCTGGAATTTTCACTTTTTTCATTAGTAAGACAGCAGCTAGTATTAATTCGTTGTAATTGTTTTTTTCTTGAATTCTGTTGACTATCTAGAGTCTCTCGCGATCCATGATCGCCACGAGTCTTATCACTTATCGGAAGTTCAACGCAGCCCCTAGTGGAGCCACTGTCAGAGGATGTTCCTGGTCGCTGAGGTATCTCCAGGTCCTCGACAAAGACCAGTCTGTTACGTTCACCTTCGGCAAGGCTTTGTAACTCCTCAGTTGTAACAAGTGTGTACCTTCTTCTGTTTTGTTTTAGGATTGACTTTAAGCAGAAATAAGTCCTGGAGCTTGGTATCTTTTTGACGACCTCACACATTGGATTGACCGTCACACGACTTCTCATCTCTATCCTCTTCGGAATTGCACCCTGGCCACTGCTGTCGCTGCTGGACTCTGTGGACGGATTGGATTTTAGGGCCAGGAAGTCTTCATCCTCGAGGACCAAAGCTTCAGCCCTTTCAGAGCAAGCTCGCATGTCGTGACCTTCGACCTCGTCGTGCTCCAAAATGTTCTCAAGGCTCTGGCCGTTGACACGAAGAAATAGCGTATTCGAATTGAGCAGATCAGAATCCGTTTTCAAATTTGGCTCGGATATTTCACGCTGTATTCTTATCTCCTTTGCGTTTCCGCTATTTAACGTTTCTAAAGATACTTGTCTACATCCGCCGTTCAGTCTGTTGTGTCCTAATATCCTTGGTAGAATTTCGGAATTAATTGTTTGCGTGCTCGTCCCGGCTTGACAATTGGAACACGTTCTTATCTCAATGTCAAAATCGTTGGATGGATTTGCAAAATTGTTATCAACTACGCTAGCCTCACTGATGCTTCCCGATCGTTGGATCAGCCGTAAAGTTTCCTGCACTTCGTTCAGGTCATTCTGTGACCTCTCCTCAGAGTTCTCTATTACATTCACCGGTACCTCTTCTTGTTCCGCAAGGCTAATCGTTGACACGGAAGTGCCTGGAACAATCATGTGACAAGGACACTCGCACCCAGTAACCATCATGTCGTTCCCATTAGAATTCCTCTCGACTGTAATCTCACAGGGCGTAACATCCTCTGCGCGTTCGTACAAAAGTGCTTCCGAGTAACTCGGTACCATTTCTCTGGTTTCGTCTTCGTTTCCGGTTGCTGAAGGATCCATTAATAACGCTTCGCTGTAACTGGGTGCCAGCATATACGATCCTGGCGCACTTAATTGGCTCGAGGATGCGTGAATGGGTTCGCCACTGGATGGAGTATCGTAATTGACCCCAAACAATTTAGTGATCTTAAAATCAATGCGTTACTTGTCATTATATGATAATATACATGTTAACAAAAATTGTATTAACATTACCTGATAATCAGCGTACTGCGTATTACATTCGATGATGATCCTGAGCGGCCAGCTTAGTAACAATGCACTAAAGCACCAGTAAACGTAGGAATTCGTGAACCAAGGATTACCAAAAACGGCTACTAAGTTAGTAGGATTGAAATTGTATCCCAGGTCCAAGCCTTCTCTCATCTCCATATAATTGTCTCTGTGTTCCTGGAACAGGAAGATTGATAGTGCCAATCATCATACGAGCACCTAGTCAAAATCTTTTAAGAAATTAAACTGAACTTACCTGTTCAGCAAAAAATCGCGATCTGGCCTCTTCAAATTCTGTGGCTGATCTCATATTCGAAAATGCAAATCCCTTAGTCAGGTTTATCTTAGTGATTGGTGTATTTGGGTCCAGGATCAGTTCCTTACTGATGTCCCTGACGCCACAGTATTCATAAAAATAAAAGGACGTAGCTGCATGCGTGTTCGACCTCTCATAGTAGACCTGTAATAAGAACCAGGATAGAGGGACCTTATGAAAGGTCGAGTTTATCCTTTTAACCAGCTCTGTAATTTATTTATTTAAATCAAAGGCGTTACGTGGATCCCTAAATCGTTTTAAGATCTACCTGCGTTGTCGTGTAATTATCACCGTTCCTGTACCGTGTTATCCTCCGTTTCCTTCGTACGTAATGATAAGAAATTGCTTTCCACCATATCGTTGGCTGGGAAAATCTTAATTGCGACAGTTTGGACAGGACGCTGTCTTGACTCTTTGAATGCAAAAGATCTATCCTTGTCGGTGAATGATAACACTCTACCAGATAAACCAAGTAGAGCATACCCATGAATGCCACCTGTTTAAAAAAAAATTGTCAATATTTATTAGGCTTTATTTTATTACTTTTTATCTTGTTATGTATACTCATGGCAAATACTCACCGGTATGTATATGTAACCATCGTCGCAGGGTGACACGTGCTTCGTACTCCTGATGGGATTTCTAAAGGCATTGATGACGACCTATGGCAGGGGATTAAAGTGATTTATTTAAGAAAAATTTGTTCTCTATACTTTTCTCTGTTATTTTTCACTTTTTCTCTGATTGTGGCCAATTTCTTTACCTTAGTAACGTTAGCACACCGGCACCATGTGATAGCCGCTAGACAGCCGTAAATTAACAATGACAATACCAGACACTTGCAATTAGCTTCCTTTTGCAATGCACCGCATAGCGTTTGTGAGATTGGTCGTTGCTGTTATGTAAAGTGATAAAAAGAAAAATGGATTATTGAAATTGAAAAGAAATAGACATTGCTTATATATACCGTAATTAAATATTTCATATCAAAATGTGCGATCATAATATAATCGATTGATATTGTGTATAATTTATATGACTATTGTACAGTAAGTTTACTCACTTCCTCATTCTCACGGTTCATCTTTCGATATAAAATAGAAGAATCGCCGATTAATTATTATCAAATACCGATTGTTGTCATTTTTCAATTTTCTTTTTTAATTACTTTCTGCATTTTCAGAGCGTACCATTGCAATCGCAACGTTACTCTGTTAATTTTATCTGTAGACAAATTTACCATTGTAAATTACATACGTGCTGTGGATATTTAATTAATTAATTATCATTCGGTATCCATCCTGCCGTTACGTGATACTGATTGTGAGAGGAAAATGAAAACAAAAATATTATGTACTCTAGATATGAAATTTAAACGCAAAATAACAGAAGCCACGTGAAATATTTTTTTTCTATATATCTTTAATATATTAACATACGAACAATGATACATGGAACACGTGATTAAACATCGATACGATTACTAAGTGACATCTGAATAAATAAATAAACAAAGGAGCAGAACTGTCACTCCCTGAAAATAATCACTCGTCAGTCAACGTAATAACCTCGTAATCACATAGGGGTGTCTATCACAAAGTGTCACTAACTACTGTTGTTTTTTGGGGGAGGAAACACGACGGGTCAGTCAAAAATTTGTACTTTCTTAGCCTAAAAGGAGAATTGGGTGGATCCACCCCCAAAGAACGTTTAAGGGTAACTGATATCGCCAGTACGGCGCCCTCGACTCTCCGTACGATCCGTCCTGCATAACTCGGTCCCGAAACTGCCCTCAGTGAAAATAGAGTCGTACTAATCAGCCGGCAAACATGAACCCCCCTACAGGGTGAGCCATTCAAAATCAATCAAACCACCTGAAGTGGATGAACTGACACGATGGAGTCATAAGGGTCTGAAGCCTTAACGTTTTAAGTGGGGTGAATCATAACGACAAGCATCCCAATCGAACGAAACGTTCATCCCTCTTATATTTCCATACATCATTTTACACGTCATACCTGATTCGTCCGCGTTATACGAGCAGAAATTTTTCGAGCGACATAAAAAAAGTGACATCGATTTAAAAAAATTGTCGATAGTCAAGGGTAGTTAGGTCGATACATTATATAAATAAAATAGCGAAACTAGATGTCACGCCATATGAAGGAGTCTGTAGGCAGGAGTATTTCGTATAATAAAGACATCTTTTGGCGCCAGTAGGACGGCCATCTATCGATTGCAATTTGAGATGATGCCGAGTAGCGCGTTGAGCGGGTATCTCGAAAAGTCTCAGGGTCGTTCGGAGGAAAACGCAAAAAAACGGAAAAAAGTTATATAAGCAGTATATAAAAAAATTAAGGTGTACTTCATTAGATTCTTTTACGTAACCCATGAAACAAACATTCAATCTCCAGTTGAATGAACGTCATTGAAAATGTCTGACAAGGATTTCCGAGAGCCACGTGGATCAGGGTCAGGATCAAGTGGTGACGTAACATTAATATTGTAAGTCGCACCCGGTCGAAAGGGACGCCAGGGCGGAATTAGTTTATTCGAATTTGAACGTCAAGACGGTAGAGGTGAAATTGAGGATCTCCCACTCCCCTTCGTAAGTACCAAGACGCCTATACGTTAAAGATTAATCATTTCCCCCCGATCCTATAGACACGGACTATACACAACATAAGCGAAAGGCTGAGGGCGCCAGGACACAATTTCACTTTCTGGCTTCGCGCCAAAACCGCATTATCTCTATAGCACCGATAGATTCCCGTGACGTACTTGTATTATGTAGGGTACTGTATAGTAAAATTGATTTTGCAGGGGAAAAATATGCGCGTCGTCGTGCCACCTCGTGAAGGCTCCAAGAATCCCTGTTGAGGATGCTGAGAGCACTGGTGGGTCTGAAGCTAATAAATATCTGGTTGTACGAATTGCCAAGACAAAAATATGAGAATTTGAAGAATTAAAAAAAAGGAGGATCTATCCTCGTGCAGATAGACAAAAGAGCAAGGAGGATGTACTAGTCGGTCATAGGGACTGAATAGCCGAGCAGCACGTATGCAGATGGTAATCAATCGGTTGCCTAATTAGGTTCCAGTAATTAAACGAGAACCTGCCCTATCTCAGTACCGTCCGAGTCTCCGTCTCAAGGAGGGAATTTGCATTTTGCCTGCACAGTAGCTGAGCTTGCTACATTCCTCCCCTATAGATGTTCTAGAAGAAAACGCCTGAGGGAGCCTTGACCGAACGATGGAATTCAGGGTCATCTTCTTGCACTTAGTCTTGTATATTGAAATTAGGTATATTTGTAGACGAACAAAAAAACGTGAATATATCTAATTATACCAGAAACGCAATGGCGATATTTCATGTTGTCCCAGGACGATATTTCATTCTGGAAACATTCCTTGTTATCTGAACGCTGATAGGGCATTGCGGCTCTCAACCACTCCTTGCTACTTGTGTGCTCGTCATTAGCAGGACGCAGCTAATTAACGTGGTCGGTACTACTATTGCCTTTAACACTGTCAAAAAGAGAGTATTGGACATGGAAATTTTCAGAGGTAAGACAGAGATAGAAGAGACGTATAACAGTGGAAGGTATATAAAATTATACGAATAGCATGAAGATAATATAGTTATAATAAATACAGAGTATAGGTTACATGTAGATTTTTATAGTCGATAAGATATAAGATAAAAATAAAAATATTTAAAAAAAATTGTGATTGTTAAAATAGGATTTGTAAAACAAGGGGTTAGCCTTGGAAATTTTGTTTGGAGTATGTCTGTCCTTGTCGCGCTCACGTGGGCGCGCATAAGTCGGTCTCTCTCGCACTCACGGGAGGTATAGGAAAGTCGAAAAATCTTGCCAAAAGGATTTTTCTTTTCTTTAATCGGGATACCGTGCGAATAAAATTCAGGGCCAAGATTGATCAAATAATTTATTAAACCTTTGCTCTTTAATGCTATATTACAATGTTACAAGACATCGAAGGTGTCCCGGTCTGCAGGTTTGCGGCAAAGTATGTTGGTTGGTATCTGTGAAAAACACATTGCGGTACTAAGGTCAGAGGCGGTTATAATAAAGACGTGCGAGATGCGTCATAGCGAAAAAAATTGCATCTTGATGAAAATAATAATCACAATCGTTCCTTACGGAGTGTCGTATACCAATTTTGATGTTTTTTGCAAAATTTTTCTTTCGCAATCACCCACTCGCACGGCTATCGTATTGAACTGGTATCCTTCGTATATTTTATTTTTATTCCTTCCCTCTTTCTCTCTTCTTCTATTCTTAATTATCAATCTCTCCCCGTCATTAACACCCGACCCTCTACGAAGCATACGTAATGCCTACACGTACATAATATTCGTACCAAATACTGCTGAAAGTAACGCGTGACACTCTCGAGGAAGCCCGTGGTTTCAAAAAGTATACCGAGGATGCGCGAAATCGACGCGGGAAATTTGAAAACGAAATTTTTATACAAAAAAAAAAAGAAGAAAATTCAAGGATTAAGAAGAAAAAATCTGACAGCGAGGGAGATAGGTTGACAGGGACCAGTCGACTTTCCGTAAAATCATTTTCATCCAAATTCCTCTAAAAAAAAAAAAATCAAATTTGAAATAGCTTTAACGACTGCGACCAATGAAAGATCGTATTGCGCAATTATATAAAGCGGCTAGGAACGACTGTGGCACTTATATATATTTTTTTCTTCCTCCATCCCTGTATCCTCCAACTAATTCTCTATTCTCTTTGCACTCAACAGATATACCCATCCGCAGAAGTATCACGTATTGCTCTGGACCGTATCTGTCGCAAATTCTCAGTGTGTATTTTTAATATACATATATATATTTATTTATATTATTTATATACCTTTATCTTAATTCTCGTGTAGAAATAACTATCTCTCTTTTATCTCCCCTCCTCGTCCTCCCCCCTCCCTCCCACCCATCTCATCATCCCCTTTTC